GAGTAACAAAATTAATGAGAAGTTTACAATTTATGGGGTTTTTGATAAAAGTGTTAAGTAATGCTTTTTAATCATTTATGTATATTATGATTCTATTGATACTTTTTATCTTTATATTCACACTTTTGGGAATGGCATTTTTTGGTGGATAATTATCTAAGACTCCAAGCAGATAAAGTTATGATGATATTCAAAGTGCATTTTTGGTTGTATTTTAAGTACTTACTTTAGAAAATTGGAATAGTATTCTATGGGATTTATTAGTTTAAGATGTTTCTGCATTTATTACTATACCTTATTTAGTATTTTGGATAATGATTGGGAATTATGTATTTCTAAATTTATTTTTGGCAATATTATTAGAAAATTTTGAAGAAGAATACAAAAATGATAAAGCAGGATTGGATACTAATATTGAGATAGGAAAGGATTCAGTAATGGATAATACAACTTAAGCTGTAAATTCAACAAGTACATTGAAATCAACAATGAAAACCAAGAAACATACTTTTGCATAACAATTAGAAAATAATGAAGATAATCATGATTAGAAAAAACATAAATAAATAAACTAAGCTTTTTAATATTTTATTGAAATTGGAATATGTTAATATTCATTATATTTATTCAGTCAATAAAATATTGTCAGAAAGATATGTTATAGAATAGTGAAGGATGATAAATTTGAAACATTAATTTTTTCTATGATATTCTTAACATCAACAAAATTAGTTTTTGATACTTATATTTCAGATACTGGATAATTAAAGTAAATATCTTTAGATATAGATATATTCTTTGCTGTATTTTTTGGAGTAGAGATGTGTATGAAAATAATAGCATTTGGTTTAATATAATAAGAGAGTTCATATTTAAGAGAATCATGGAATGTGTTAGATTTTTTCATTGTAATTGCTTCTTTTATTGATGTTAGTGTTTCAACAATTAATTTAAGTTTTGTAAAGATTTTGAGATTATTAAGAACATTACGTCCATTAAGATTTATAACTCATAATAGATCAATGAAAATATTAGTATCAGCATTATTATAATCTATAAATGGTATTTTCAATGTTGCTATTGTTGTAATTTTGGTATGGATGATGTTTGCAATTTTGGGTATTAATTTAGAGAAGAATAAAATGAGTTTTTGTAATATGGGTGATGATGAATTATATTATCATTATGGAGTGTAAGAATGTAAAGAGAATGGTGGTGTTTGGGAAAATAGAAAAACTAATTTTGATAACATTTTAAATGGAATGTTAACATTATTTATATTGTCAACTTTGGAAGGATGGCCAGATATTATGTATTGGTTTATAGATGCAGATGAATCAGGACCAATAAAAAATGCATAATTATAATTTTCTTGGTATTTTATTGTATTTATTTTATTTGGATCAATATTATTGATGAATCTCTTTATTGGTGTGATCTTAGTTAATTATCATTTGGCTGAAGAAGCATCAAGAGATAAAATCTTAACTTAAGCTTAAGTTGATTGGATTGAACTCTAAAAATTAATAGTTCATTCAAGTCCTAATCTTGCTATGTTTTTTAGTCCTGAGAATCCTTTCAGAGCAAAAATCTTTTCTATTATAAAGCATAGATATTTTGATCCCACTATTCTAATGATCATTGTACTCAATATTATTATCATGGGTTTATCTTAGGATGATGCACCAATCCTTTATGATTCAATTTTAACATAATTTAATACTGCCTTTACTTTTGTATTTATAGGCGAGGCTATTCTTAAAATAATAGCATTAGGACCAATAGGTTACATGAGAAATTCATGGAATAGATTTGATTTCTTTGTAGTATGTGCTTCAATCTTGGATTTAATACTTTCATTTACTGGAAATTCCTTTATTACATTTCTTAGTGCAGGACCTTAGTTGGCTAGAGTTTTTAGAGTACTTCGAGTAACTAGACTATTTAGATTAATTAAATCCTTTGAAGGTTTATAAAAATTGATAGAAACAGCAATTTATTCTTTGCCTGCTATGTTAAATGTGACAGCTTTATTATTTTTGGTTTTCTTTATATTTTCTATTTTGGGAGTGTTTTTATTTGGAACAATAAAAAGTGGATGGGTTATTGATGACACTAATAATTTTTAAGATTTTCATCATTCAATTGAATTATTATTTAGATGTGCAACTGGAGAAGATTGGTACAAAGTTATGTTTGATACAATGTAAGATGGTTAAGGATATTATTGTATATTCTTTATTATTTTCATTGTCATCTAATAATATATTATGCTCAATCTATTTATTCTTATCATTTTAGATTAATATGAAATTAATTATTTCAACAGTGATAATCCATTAAATAAATTTTAAGAATATGAAAACATGTTTATTGAATCTTGGTCTAAATTTGCTAAGGAAGACAAAGGAATGAAGATGCATTAATAATTGCTTGTTCCTTTAATGTTGTAAATGGAAAAACCAATAGGATATGATTTAAAATAGAAATTATAGAATGAAATTACTGAATGGAAAAGGATTAATCCATAATTAGACAATAAAGAAAATATTCAAAAATATACTTTATATTTGAAGGCTTAAGCCAAAAGATCTGTATCAACTTAATTAATGAAAATGAATATCTATTCTGATAATAATGGACATGTCAAATATCATTAAATTTTGTTTTGTGTTATGAAATCATATATGTGGAAAAAGGTTCAAATTAATTTAAGTCTAGAAGGAGCTGAAAAAATATTATAAAAAGAAGATGAAACTTAAAAAAGATTGAAAAAGAAATATTTAGTACAATCTAAAGAAGTTTCTCTTGTTAATCCAATTGTTGAATTTTTATTTGTACATATGGCTTATAAAACTCTTAAAAGATATGGTGAAAAAAAGAGATAATAAAAAGAATTGTAAGTTTTATTAGAATAGGAATAAGAACATTATAGTGATGGATTCAGTTCTGATTCTTCATTTGACAACAAAATAGAAATCATTTCTAGAAATTCTAATGATACAGAACATCCAAAAAGACCAGATTATGGAAAACCAAAATTTATATCTTTACCAAATACTTAAATTTATAAAGATGATGTCTTTATAAATTAAGAAGTACTACTTTAGAATGATTCTAATATAAGTTCAGATGAGGAAGAAGAGGATCAAAATGAAGATGGTAAGATATAAATTATTATTTTAAGTTATGAAATAATATACAAGGGACTTTCAAAAACATTTAATTCATAATGGTGGTAGCAATGGAAATATTCAAGATGATAAAAGTGGAGGTGCAGCAACTAAAAGTAGTCAATCAAGATAAAGTCAAATTAATAAATAATAAAAAAAATAAACTCTAAAACCAAATGATATTATTTAAGGTTTTAGTAAGAAATCTATTTAATCGATTTCTTAAACAAATAATATAACTGCTATTCATGATAATTAATTATAATGAAGTAAAGTAATGTGAACAGAAATTATATAAATAATTTATTATAATTATATAAATTCATAGAAACTTAAATATCTCATTTATTCTTTAAATTAAATATCTTAAGTATGTTTAGAAAAGTGTTAGGAAATTCTATGAGACATAATCCAACTCGTTTACGATACTTAAGAGAGTATGTATGTTTAAGAGAAGCTACAAATCCATCAGCTTAATAAGCTTAAATTGCCTAATTCTAATAGGTGGCAAATAAATATGGATTAACAACTTCTCAATTAACAACCCTCTCTGGTATATATCAATTGAGTTAATTGCTTCGACCTTAAAATTTCCCAAACCCTAATGATTATAAGGTTTATTAATTTCTATTTCTTTAGGTTCACGTTGAGAAATTGGAGTTACTATTCAGATAAAAACAATTGAGTAATGAAAATCTAGAGCAATTTGCATAAAGTCTATAATATAGAATTCCAGAAATCAGCAAACTTACAAATGAAGCTAGAAAATAAGCAGCTCAAGATTTATTTAGCATTTATTTGGAAGGAATTCATTATGATAATTTAGTTTCACCGTAGAGATTATATAATATTTTAGAGGCTATGTTTAACAATTAGAATCAATATTCAGATAACGTACTAATGCAGTCATAAATAAAATAAAAGCAGAAGTCAAAGATCCATAATTGGCAGCTTAATTAGCATAATCACTTGAATCAATCTTTGAAAACTATTAATTTAATCAAGGAAGGTATTTCTATATTAATTAATAAATAGATATGTTGGTTTAATCAAATCATTTATAGAATCAAATCAAGAAACAGAAGTTTAAGTTAGTCAAAAAGTTGATTAATAAGCATAAGAGAAATAACTCTTTATTTAAACTGTTGATAGAGCTACAAAACAATTTTCAGCTGAAGATCAAGAATATGCTAGAAATGTTGATGGACATGATTTTAAATTGTTCTTATAAGAATTATATGAGAAAGAATATTAAACAGGATTTGCTTAAAATAGATTTAATGAAAAAGGATAAAAATTAGTTTATGAATCATAAGCATAAGAACATCATGTTTTGAGATATTAAATATTGGCAGGTGTCTTTGCAGGCTATTTCCTGTATTTATTTTACAGAGGTGATGCATACTATTCAACCATATTAACAGTACCTACTGTTGCTGCTGCTTTCTTTTATTTAGCAAAATAAGGACAAGTATTGATTATAATATGAAAATGATAGGCAAAAAGAGCAATTCCTTTTATTAGACAAGTACTCAAAAATACTGACAATACTTATGAAGTTGTCTTTGAATAAAATCGTATCATTAGTAGAATAGAAAATGTTTAAGCTGCATAAATTAAGTAAAAAGGTGTATTATGAAAAGATTGGCTTAAGATACTGCATTTTCAAATACTTTAGTATTCGGAAATCCTACAGATTTTGGATACCATATAAAAGTAGCCGATAATTCATTCATTGCCCCATATTTATATAGTGGTAATGGTTTAGATTTTAGAACATTTATTAATATTTGATTCAATATAATAATAAAAATAAAACAAGACTTTTCATCCATTTTAAGATTATACTTAATTATCAATTCCATACAAGTCAATTTTATCCTAATCTTCTAATTCATCTCTATCTAAACAATTAAATGCAAATCCAGTATGAGCTTTATTATTTAATTTTCCACCTATTTTTGGAGGTTAATGTATAGATAAATTATTTAATGAGAATGGTGTTTTTGTTGAAGTATTTTGATTAACTTTCTATAAAACTCTATTAAGTTTAATATTTAATGCAATATCAATACTACAAATAGCAGCAATCACTAATATATTACCAAAATGAAAATTTGGTGTTTAAAATAATCTAATAATATAATATATATTTATACGATTAAAATACTACATATGCTTCAGCTTATTATATGTTATCAAGGATAATCCAAGAAATTAAATATGATATCATACTAAAAGATATACTACCCTTAAATTATAATATGATTAATTACTAACAATGCTGGGGTATAAGTATTTGAAAATAATAATACTTTCAAATTACATATCACAACAATTAATCCAAATATCATAGTTCCTTAAGCCCATAAATGATGAGTAAATCCACTATTTTCAACGAAATTCTCAGATATTGTATATGTAGGAAAGAAACATAAAATTGCAGCTTACCAAAATCCACAAAATACCCAAAATAAAACTATTTATATATTAAATAAAACTCCTTGAGGACCTTATTGATAATAATTTTATAACTTATTATCTGTTAATTAATCAGCATCATATTCCTCATCAAATATTCCATATATCATAATTGGTAATGCTCCATATAAAATATTAAATAATTAATAAATGAAAGTATCATATAATGATTAAGCTGAATACATTGAGAGAATACCATACCAAAATTATGGTAAAACAACTAAAATATTCTTATAAAATGTGTAACAAACTAAAACACTATTTCTACGATAACATTCTCTTCCATGAAAAAATAATAATCTTCTTAATTCACGAAATTCTTAAACACTATAATCAGCTGCTCTTGCTGCTTATTAACCTTCAACACCTCTAATTCCAACTCCAACATGAGCAGCTGTTATCATATTTACATCATTTGCACCATCTCCTATAGCAAGAGTTGAACATGATTAATTTCTACCTCTTATTAAAGAAACTACATCTTATTTTTATTTTGGACTTACTCTACAACATAAAACAACCTCACAATAACCACATACTTCTGCAACCTTTTTTTATATATCTGGTTTTAATGCATGTAATAAGGCATCACCTGAAATAATTAAAGCTTATCCTTATGTAGTTTATAAAGTAGGTATTTTATTTAATATATCATCTAATCTTTCATTAATTAACAATTCTTCTTTTTCATCCACTATATGTTAAACTAAATTATTAGTTAATAATGAACAAGAATATCCAATATTAATAGCTGTCTCAATTTTATCACCTGTCAATACCCATACTTTAATTCCAGCTGCTTTTACTGCTGCAATTGTATCTGCTACATCTTATTATAATTTATCTTCAATAGCAGTAGCTCCTAAAATTTCATAATTCTTTTCCAATTCATCTTAAAGTACTTACATTTTCTCTTCACGATTTTCAATTTATTATGTTGCTGATTAATAACGTTTATGCCATTCTTCATATTCCTATTTACTTAATTTTCTTTTTGATAAAACCAAAGTTCTTAAACCTATCTTACCATATTCTTATAATCTCTATACTAATTAATGATATTCATTTTTATTTAATTCCTCTTTTGATAATCTCACTTAATCTAATAATACAGAATCTGCTCCTTTTGAAAATAAATATATATCTCCAGTATTAATAACTTAGACTAAAATTGATTATCTTTTTCTTGCAGATGTGAATTCAAACATCTCCAATAATTAATATTCAATTATTTATTCTTAATAACTTATTCTTTTGATATTATTTTCATCTGTTCCTAAAAATTCAAAACCTACAAATCTAGCAAAATTCAATAATGCCAATTCATCAGGTGAAGTTGCATTATATATTAATTTTCCATCTTTCTAATCAGAAATAACTGTGTGACAAATAGAAATCATTTTTAAACACTCTTCTACTTTATCATGCATTACATGATTTTTATCATTAATAGCTTACATCAAAGTCTTGTCTCTAAAATCTACATTACTAACTTAAGGATAATTAAGTAATTCATCATCTCTTATATAATCATCTGAAGATCTCAATATATCCCCATAATTTTGATTACCTCTACTATTAATTAATAAATATACATTATTATTTATTTAAACTCCATTATATTACAAGTTAATGTACCAGTTTTATCACTAAAAATATGTTCAATTTAACCAAGTTCTTCATTTAAATTAGAAGTTTAAACTCTTGGTTAATTTAGTTTTTCATCTAATGTCATTATTTTGCCTTGAATAAATTTAACCATTTCTAAAGTAACCAATAGAGAAATAGGAACAAAATTATTAAATATAAGCATCCAATTACCAAATCTTACAAAAAAGTTATATGGAATTGTATATTCAGAAGTATCTACTGCTATATATAAATAATTCAAATATTATCGATTATTGAAATATGTAATTGAATAAACAAGAGATGCTATTATACACATAATAAATTGAGTTATAAATATTATTAAAATAAACTATTACATCTTAACTTCTAATTTACTACGTTTAGTTCTAGCTTTATAAGAATTCATCATAATTTTAGTATCATGACCAGTATATGCAACTAAACCAAAAACATATTTAACATTTCTTAAGTTACATCCTCTTAAAAGAAAGTTATTAAAATTAATTGATGAAACCTATAAATTAGAAGTAGTCGTTTCTCCAATGAATTTATATAAATATGGAGTTGGTGCTTAATATTTTAAGATTATTCTCTTATCTAATTGTCCAAAACAATCATCTGATTTAAATGTTTATAGAAGATCAACATGAACATTCTTTTATTTTAAGTTTGTCTCACCATCTAATGATTTAGTTTCAACATAACAAATTCCTTTTTTCTCACTTGATCTTAATAGAATCATGTCTGCTGATATAATTTCATCTTAATTCACTTTAACAATATGCCCAACTCTTAATTCATATGAAGGAATCTTAACAAAATCTTTACCATCAAATGCTGTCACTTATTATTTATTCTCTTCATTATCAGAAGTCCTTCTTTTGTAATCTTCATAGAAATCCTTTGCTCCACTTACCAAAATAATGAAACCTAAAGGTAAATAAATTGTAGGAATTCCTGAACTTATTGAAACTTCTGGAACCATTTATAATGCACCCATTAACTAATTTAATACAACTTGTAACATACTACAAAATAGACATTTGCCAACTTAGAAAATTACTCAAATAACTATTTAGGAAAAAAGTTCAATAATGTATATTTTGATGTTTAGATACTATTATCAGGTAATTGATAATCTGGCCTATTAGATGTAATTTTTCTATTCTTTGATTAATATTTTTAAGCATAATTTCCCTTCTTTTCAATGTTATCATATTAATAATCTTGTATTAATAAATGTGTAGTTACCAAACAAATTTTTGGAATCTCTTTCTTCCATACTATTTAAGACATGAGGTGTTTGTAACTCAATTTGTACATTCTTTATTTCTGTCATTATTTAAACTAATACTAGTTAATCAAATAATAATTATATATTAATATCGATCCTTAAAAATAATTAATTAATTGTTAAAAAAAATAAATTATTTTTTTGAGATATATTATTTTATAAATGTCATTTTTATTATTTTTCTGGTAGTTCTGTTTCTTTTATATCAAAACTTTCATTATATGGAGCAGTTGCATCTACAATTTTCTTTCTCCAAATTAAGTATTTTATTTTATATCCCCACTTTTTTATTAAATAATACAAAAGAACAACCACCCATATACTAGCTACTATTAACACATATAATGTTAAAGTGTAATAAGCATATGTATTATAATTTCCTGCTAACTAATAATATTTAATATCAAACATACTTCTGTTGTTGTAAAAGTAAATGAATGAGATACATTACATAAAGTAAATTAATAATTTAAATTATTCTCTTTCTCCTTTTATGCACAGTTAGTTGAATTAATCTTAACATAAAATTATCTCACACCAGCATCACTATATTTACATTCTATCTTAGGCATATTCATTATTATATTAATTAATTAGAATTCATATTTACTAATTGCTGCAAATATTCTTTGATTTGAGTACTCCTCTCCTTCAAATTCAAATTCTTTGACCTTTATCAAATTAGGTTAATAGAATGTAGTATGAGAGACTAAATTTTCATTTAAAAAACCTTTATTTAATAATATTTATCTATACCTTCATAAATTGAGTGATATATAATCTTATGACCATCATCTCCAATCAAAACAGCATAATATTAAAAGACATTTACATCATTAATGGTCATTTCATCATAGAAATAATTATTAATATAATAATCGTAAGTTACTTAATTAACAAAAACCTCTATTGCAAAATCTTATTTATTGATTGTTTTTGCCACAATAAAAAATGTATTATCATAAAAATCAAAACTATGAGCATGTGAAATAGTAATTGTGAATTCATAAACAAGTTCCATTAGATTTTTAATCCAATAAAATTTTAATCCTCTCTCTAAATCTAATACATATAATCTATCTTCTCCATTACTATTAACATCAACTATTTAACTATCAATTCCTAAATAATTTGCTGATATATCTCTTAACAATTCTAAATTTCCATCATTTATTTTATATATATCTACACCTTCATATCCACATGCCACAAATATTAATTAATGCTTTTCATTATAATGAACATTGTATATTTTATCTCTTTTTTTAATTTGATTTTCAACTTTAAATTCTATATCTAATTTAGAATTAGCCTCAAAGCTCAAACCCCCATTTGTTGTAAATATAAATACTTTATTTGATTTCTTATCTCCTACTAAATAAGGATGGTAATCAGTATTTTCATCATCATAGTCAAGCATATTTGCAAATGAAGTTTAAATTGGGTCTAGTGATAATTTGAATAGACCTTAATTCAAATCCACTTATAGAATCTTGAAATCATTTCTAACAACATAAGCCTTCCTAAATTTTTCAGCCAAGGCAACATCAGTACAATATATATCTCTTGTTAATCCTTTTTTGTCAAGCCAAAGCTTTAATTTCATACTTATCTCAATGTTCCTCTAAATTGAAAAACAACCATCTTCTTCTAAAAGATCTTCTTCTACTTTCTCAAAGTCTCCTAAATTAATGCTTTTATTGCTAATCTCTCCTTATACTCTTTGGTGTAAGTCAATTGCAAAGACTCCTGGATAACTAAGATTATATGGATTTTATATATTACGCTCCATAAGGTATTTCAATAATTTCAGATGCTTATCTATAAAAATCATTTGATGTAAACGACTCATCTATAATTTTCACTGGTGGATTTGTGATTCTATTACTCAAAGTCTAAGTAAAGAGAATTTATATCAAAACTATGATCATTACTATATATAAAATATAATTAAAATATTTCTCTAAGATTAGTATTAAAAACTTAAATTATATTTTTTTATAGTTCAAGTTGAATTATTTGTTACAACTCAAACTATATATAAATATTATATATTTAAACTTTAAACTATTTTTTTAAAATGAAATGAGATAAATTTTATTAATAAAGCATTAACATTCACATAGACCTTTGAATTTAATTAAATATCCCAGAAATATTTATTATCTCATTATTTTCTCATATTTTAAATAGTATTATTAAAAATTAAGAAAATCATCAATCATTAAAATAGGTAAATAATTTAAATAAAAATATTAATTATATATCATTATAATTTATTACCATTAATAATTAATTCATCTATGATAAAATAAGTCCAATAATATGATTAATAAGAGAAAAGACTATAATGAAATTAACTTAATTATGGAATTCAACTTTTATTTGATAAATGTTAATTTATAATCAATTTTACATTAGTTCCAAATTGATAGCAAAAAACTAACAATTATTCACTTTCAATTAAGATTGGAAATAATTAATTTATTAAATTTACATCAAATTTCAAATATGATAATCTAATAAATGATGCTCTAATTTTATGAATGAATAAAGTATAATGGAATAAAAGAAGGCAAGAAAGTTTGATATAAAAATAAATATCTAAATTTCTTAGCCAATAAACAGTTAAATTATACTATAAAACTTATAATAATTATTAACTACAATAATTTGATTTATTGGATAACTAAATTAAATAATTTTATATATATTTTATTATTAATTCTTAGATTATATACTACAGAGTTAGAATACTAATATTTAATAATTTTATTCTTTATGTATTTAGAATTTATTAATTATATCTATAAATTAAAATTATGAATAATATAATAAATAGAGCTCTTAAATTTTACTCAAGTAATAAAAGAAGAATAGATCCTCATTTAGTAATATTAGGATTATATCTAACAACTAAATTCATTTTTAGAAGAACAAAAGCTATTATTTCAACTTTAAGTTTATAATAAGTTGATATTGCAAATAGATATGGGAAGGGATCATATGCACTAATAACTGGAGGAGCTGGAGGAATTGGAAGAGAATTTGCTTTAGATTTAGCTAGAAAGGGATTCAATTTGATAATTGTAGATTTCAACTAGGCTGGTTTGGATTCAATATAATAGGAAATTAAATAAATAAAGAGTGACCTAATGGTGAAAACTATATTAATTGATTTCAGCTAAGGTGATAATGCAGATTTTTATAAGAAATTCTAATAAGAAATCTCTAAATTAGATATATCAATGTTAATTAACAATGTTGGAACAATCAAAGGTTCTTTTGGAATGTTTGATAGATTACCTATGAAAAATATTATTGAAGGTTTTAATATTAATTTTGTAGCACCAATTATGGTAACATAGGCTGTGATCAATTAAATGTTATTAAGGAATAAATACTAATCTTTAATATTAAATTTAAGTTCAGCTTCATCATATCATCCATTTCCATATTTCTTTGGTTATGGATCATCTAAAGTATTTGAATTGAAAGTATGTAGATTGGAATTGCTAATTTTTTTGATGCTTTGGCATTAGAACTAAGGAACCATAAGAATATTGACATATTAACATTAAAACCTTACTATATAAGCACAGCTATGATAAGGCATAAAAAAGGATTATTTATAATAGAACCCCAAAAACTAGTTCAATCTACATGGAAATATGTTGGTAGGACAAATGAAATTACTCCAAATTGCATCCATTAATTTAAAATATATTTAGAAAATTCATTGCCAACATTTTTAAGAAATTTTGAGATTATGATAACTCATAAGGATGGAGCTGAAGCAGTAACTTAGAGATAAGAATGATATATTAATATTATTAAATAAAAAATGTAAAAATAATCATTACACTTATATCTATATACAATAAATTAGCATAAATGAGCATTTTATATGAATGTACGATTTTTGGTTTAAAGTATAATTTAGAAAATATCTCGTATAAATAAATGATTTGGTATTAAAATAATATGATAAAAATCTTGTTTTATATTAGTCAACTTAGTTGCAAAATACTTTTTTACTTAATAGTTCATTTTATTTGAAAACATATAAGCATTATAAAGGACTTTTAAATTATTATAATTATATAATAAGGAATAAAATAATAAAAATTTAATAATATTAATGGATATTAATTACTATAGGAATATGTATTTATGGATCACTAATTTTGAATTTGGTAAGCATAAATAAGTAAAATGTCTTTTAAAAACATAATATTCACTATTTTTATTGAAAAAACTAAAATATTTATATCCTTTTTTATCATAATTCTCTCAAATGACGAGATCTATCGATTTCGTAATAAAAACTAAATAGATGAATTTTCATAATATTTATAAAAATGATCTCATTTATTAAATAACTTATTCTCCTTAACATATGGCTCTATACGATAAATGGAGATTGGATTTAGATAGATTCTAACTTTAATGATACTTCAATTGATGAAAATAATTGGTAAGTCAAGAAAAGCTGCTCAGATTGTGGAGACAGTTGTGAATAAGATTTCTAAACTGATTAATGTGCTGATTCTGTAAATGATTTAGAATATGCATTAATTAAAAAAGACAAAGCAAAACTTTATAAGTCATATGAATATTAAAGTTTTCAAACATAAATAATCTTTGATGCATATTTTAGTCGAGCAGATAATGATAAATCTTCAAGTTTAAATGTTGATTATCAAGAAGACTCTTAATCCTCAAAATATTAACTATTTTAAAAAATTTATAAAGAATCTGATTTAACATAAAAATCTAACAGAATTTGTACTGGAGGTTCAGATACTGAATTTGATTTAATTACAGTTGTCAGTAATATAATAGATAATAATGCAGAAAAATTTTGGATTACTTTCTGTTTAGATCCAGAAAAAGATGAGGTAAGAGTGTTTATCAGAAATTTACTAATTTATGTGAATACTTGTTACCCTACATGTAAAACTTGTAATGGTGCATCAGAAACTTCATGTCAATCATGCTATTATAATTCTGTATCATCAGGATAATGCTCATGTCCATCAGATCATCAATTCTCCTAAACAACAATTGGATGTAGATAAGAATGTGAGAGAGATTATTTTATAGCTTAATCAGATAATATTTGTGTATCTGATAGAAGAATTAAATCAAAAGTTAAATATTTTGATTCTAATTAAATATCATCCTCTAATTATCCTAGATATGCACCATTTGTCTTTATTCCAGATTTATTACAATATTCAAATACTGACCTTATTTTTGATGAATGTGATGGTAAAGATTTTGTTGGAGAGTTGAAATTTTGTGAGGGAATGTTTTTAAAAATGGGAAATATAAATGCTTTAAAATTTATTAGAATAAGAATCACATTTTACCTTTTTAGTCTCTAAATAGACAGCAGAATTTAAATCTATTTAGATGATATACTTTAAAGTTAATTAGTAGCTTAATCATCACAGTTTTAATGCATTTCATGCACTAAAATATATACTAAAACAGATAATTGTGATTCTAAATCATATTCTTTAATTAGAATAGAAGCAATTCTTAAATCATTTTCTAATTCACCATAATTAACTTTATAAGGTAAATTATAATAAAGTACAGAATCATGGGGATTCAATAATGTAACCATTGATACAGGATTATGTTAAGAAAATTGTAAAATATGTTCTACTTTTAATGATTGTTAACAATGTGAAACTAATTATAAATTATATTAAAATGGTTGTGTTTCTGAATGTCCTATTTATTCATCAAATTGTGTAGACTATGCTGATATTATACCTTGTAATTATATTATTTAATTTAGATTCCAGATATTTAGCAAAAGGATTCTATGATATGAATATGACAGATTAATAAATTGCAACCTTTTTTGATTCAGTTACTAATCCAACTACTAATTTTAAAACAGGTTAAAAATTTTCATTTTTCCCCAAAAAGTTTGTTTTAGGAGGTATTATGGTCTGGAATAATGCCAATTATATTAAATCTTGGGTAATCTCTAAACCTCATTATGCTGTAACCATAAGATTTAATTTAACATATGGTGATGAATATTCTGGTAATTTTTATTACAAAATTGGAACTGATTTAAGTGTTGCATTTCCTAAACCATCTTCTGGAGGTTAAAATATTATTGGTAGAAGTAAATAAGAAAGAACTAGGCATTTTAATATTCCCATAAATCCATTTAAAACATCACCATTGAATTTTGAACTCTAATGTACAGGAGGTGATTCAGATATTAGATAAGAGTTTTGTGCTATATCAGAGTATTTTGTAGTTGTGCATTATGTATTTATTCATTAAATTATAAAAAGTGTCCTCCTTTTTGTACTGATTGTTCAAGTGATTCAGTTTGTAATGTTTGGTAATCTGGTTATACTAATTCATAATGTACTTCAAATTAATTTTAAACATTTAATCCTACAACAGAAACATATATTTGTAATACTTGTACTTAAATTGGTTGTCTTACATGTAATAATTTAGATGAATGTACATCATGTTAATAAGTAAATCAATTTGAATTATAAAATGGAATTTGTTTATGTTAATCATTTCATTATCTATCAGGAACTTCATGTTAAAAATGTAATAAATATTGTGAAAATTGTGATGGAAATAGTAAAAATAATTGTATATCTTGTGTCTCTGATTTTTATAGAGCAATCTCATTTAATACATGTGTTTGTTAAATAGGGTATTATGATGATGGTATCAATTTACCTTGTTTACCTATTTGTGGTGATAATTTAGTTGTTGAAGGAGAAGATTGTGATGATGCCAATCACAATCCTTTTGATGGTTGTCATAATTGTAAATTTACATGTGATGAACCATGTACATATTGTGTATCAGGATAATGTCTATTATGTTAAGATGGATATATGTTATTTTAGAATAAATGTGCTTCAATTTGTGGAGATAATATTATAATTCCAAAGTTTGAATAATGTGAAGATAATAATTTAACTTAATATGATGGATGTTTTGGATGTAAATTTTCATGTTCTTTAAATTGTATTGATTGTTATTTTGGATATTGTCTCAAATGTGATGAGATTAATGGTTGGTATTTATAAAGTGATAACACATGTACTACAGAATGTGGTGATGCTATCAAAGTTTTCCAAGAAGAAGAGTGTGATGATGCTAATTAAGAACCATTAGATGGTTGCGATTAATGTGTATATTCTTGTAATAAATATTGTTTGGAATGTATTAAAGGAACTTGTATGAAATGTGAATATGGATATAAAGTAGAAAGTAGAACAAATTCTTGTATTATTGATTATATTTGTGGTGATAATCAAATTATTAAACCTATGGAAACTTGTGAAGATCAGAATAATTTAAAATTTGATGGTTGTTATAATTGTTAATTTAGTTGTTAAGATTCTTGTACTAATTGTTCAAATTAAGGTTGTTTGGAATGTAATACATAAGGATGGGAATATAATCTTATTGAAATGATATGTGAACCTATTTGTGGTGATGGAATTATAGTTATTAATTATGAAGAATGTGATGATTTAATTAGTTTTAATTGTTAACATTGTAGATTTTAATGTTAAGATTCTTGTGAACTTTGTTATTAAGGATATTGTTATAAATGCAAAAAAGGATGGTAATTGAATACATTTGATAAATATTGTTTTCCAATTTCTGGAGATGCCTTAATTGTTGGTTAAGAATAATGTGATGATTTAAATATAATTCCTTATGATGGTTGTTATCAATCATAATTTCAATGTTAAACAGCTTGTATTAAATGTGAATTTGGAAAATGTAAATAATGTTAAATTGGATATTTCAATACTAATAATTAATGTAATGAAATTATTGGTGATGGAATAGTTGTTGGCTCAGAATAATGTGATGATTTTAATCTATCTGCATTAGATGGTTGTTTTTAAACTAAATTTGATTGTCCTTAAAATTGTTCTACTTGTTTTAAAGGAATATGTTTAGATTGCAATAGAATTTCTGGATATGGATATCTAGATATATATAGAAATATTTGTATTTCATAATGCGGAGATTATATATAATCATAGGAAGAAGAATGTGATGACGGAAATGATGTTGCTTATGATGGATGTTATAAATGTAAATTTTAATGTGATTTATATTGCGATTATTGTGTTAATGGTAAATGCTTATCATGTAAAGAAGGATATTATCTAAATAAAAAGATAAATGAATGTTTTAGCATTTGTGGAGATGGTATCATTGCTCATGATGAATAATGTGATGATGGTAATAATATTCTAAATGATGGTTGTTCTGATTGTAAAGCTTAATGTCATTAATAATGCACTACATGTATTGATAGTTAGTGTTATGAGTGTAAGGGAATAGGTTGGGAATTAAACTTAATATTAAGATAATGTTAACCTTTTTGCGGAGATGGAATTGTTATTGGTAACGAATAATGTGATGATGGTAATGATTAAGGTGAAGATGGATGTTTTGAATGCTTTTATTAATGTTAAGATCAATGTACTAAATGTTTAAAAGGTAATTGTGAAGAATGTAATACTCTTGGTTGGTTCTTAGAATGGGGTCATTGTTTTCCTTATTGCGGAGATAAACTAGTTGTTGGAAATGAAGAATGTGATGATGGTAATGCAATACCTTTTGATGGTTGCTATCAATGTTAATATTAATGTTAAGAATAATGCACTGATTGTAAGAAAGGAATATGTTATGAATGTGACGTTTAAGGTTGGACCTTATTGAATAATCTTTGTAATCCTCTTTGTGGAGATGGATATGTTGTTTTTGGGTATGAGTAATGTGATGATGCAA